TGGGGCTCCCCGGGAAGGGACAGCGGCTTCCACCCCCAAAAATAATGCAGGATCCAAGCTGGATGTGACCATGCTCGTTGGCTAATCCATATTACTGTTTTAAAACCATAATGACATCAAACAAACAAGAAGACAACCCAAATCGCTATTTAATGGAAACCTTACTCTGGGTATTTTTCATTCTTATTTTGTTTTCCATTTCATTCTCCTGTTTTCCTCCAAAATAATGATATTCCAGGTCAGACTGTGACTGCTGGAAATACTACGTGACAATATTGCAGGTAATTTGAAAACACTTCAGAAAATAAATAAATAAATAAATAAAGCACTATATAGGACATCAAAGAAAGCTGTGAACCTTCCCATCAAAAAGCCTCTCTTTATTTTTCCCCCTGCACCCCCCATCCTCCTAAGCCCACCTGCCTCACCCAGCACAGAGCTGAGCGGTGCAGCCCCACGGGGAGCTACAAGCTTCGCTCCCCTGCGGGCACCGGCAGAGCTGCAACTGCTCCGGGGACTTTTCACAGACTGGATCAGGCCTCTAGAGCAAAACCCAATGGGCAGTACCCAGGCAAAATCTGATCTTTCCATAGGAAAGGCGCTGACCCCTCCAGTCACCAGTTACAGCACAGACGCAGGCAGGGGCAGCCCAAAAACCCGCCTGCCCCTTCCTGCTGTAACAGGACTTATCAAGAATAGATAAAATGGAAAAAAATCCCATCCATAACAAACTTTTCCTTTCTTCTGGAGTTAATTTTCAACACCTTTTGCTGTTGGTTTTTTTTTGTTGTTTGTTTGTTTTTTAATTGCTTGATAGCAAAGTCTGAAGCCTGAAAAAAGTGTATGTCTTTAGGATCATTTGGCTGTAATCTGGTAGCACTGTGGGTCTATCAAAAACAACAGAAACCGTTATTTGTGTTTTTCTGTGTTCACAGGAAAAAAATTATACACTTAGATAAACTGAACCATTCTCTTTGAACTTTTCCTTTGTTTGAATTAAATACTCTGGAAGCCAGCACGTTAATCACACTGCAAAATGCACCGAGTTAGTGAGCTCCGATTTTTTGTTTTAATGAGCAAGTGTTCCTTGTGATAACTTGGGGAATTATACTTTCTGAATGGTGGGAAAATACACAATTATGTCACATGCCACCAAACTAAACACACTATTCAGGAAATATGGATTTTTTTTCCCCCAAAAAAAATCTTTTTCTTTGCTTCTATACCGGAGAACTTCAGTTGGGGATTATAATTCCTTTCAAAGTATTCTTTCTTAACAATATTGCTGCTATTCATGTTTCTTTTACAGCATTTTCTGAATTGTTCTAGGTATTTGGATCTCTATTTTGGGAAAACGGATTTTTCTCTCCAGAGTAACACTCTATCTTAAAACCCTTTCTGTTGGGAAGAGGTTCTCTCAACACAACTCTTAATGCCTGGTGCCGCAGTTAACCACCTCGCTGTGTTTCCAAGGATAATCGCTGTTCCTGAAAGAGTAAATCACTCATTTCAATTAATGGCCAAGTGCTTGGTGGGATGCAGGTTGGCTTCTCTTGAGTTTTACATGCATGACACGAGCCTCTGCACCACAAAGGCGACCCGAACATCGCAGAAGACTCATGCCACCTGCACCCTAGTCCAGGTCCCCATGGATGCCGAAGCCCCAGTGGGCAGCAAGGTTGGGTCAGGGCTGCAGGAGGGAGCACAGCCCCTTTTGCAAAGCTTCGTGGTGCACCAGCTGGCACAGTTTGGCTTTGAACCTCTCGGATTCAACTTTTCTGCAAAATTTATTTTGATGGGGATTTTTCTTGTTGCAACAAAAAAGCCATGCCAGCTTCAGGAAAAGCAAAGCCATTCCAATCAGGGGAGAAAATGTGCAGATTGCAAAACATGGCAAGTTTTTAAGGATGGAACGAGCCCAGATGGATTCTCCTGTTTCATTTGCCAGGAGGAGGAGTGACTCAGAGCTCGTGCGTTTTATGGGAAGTGCTTGGCACGCTGCCGCGGCTGGGGGCCCCAGGGACAGGACCAGGGCCAGAGGGAGATGGCAGAGCCCCCAGCCAGTCACCTCTCAATGACTGGAGACCAAAGAACAGGCCCAAATGCGCAGAAGTTGAAGGACAAGCATAGCTTTTGTTGCTCATTAGAACCGTCTGTTTTTTTCAGAAAACAGCTCCTTGTTTCCTTAGTAACTCCTCTTGGAAGAAGTAAATGCACCTGAGCGTAGCTTAGCAATGCGCAGCGTCTACATACGTTGCCTCATCCATTTCCACCCACTCTCAGCATCTCCATAAGCTTCCATGTCAGCCCTGCCACTGCTCGGTACAGGGTCTGATCACCAGAGGAGCAGGAGCAGCTCGAGCCTGAGCAGCCCGTTAACCAAAATCGTAGCAAAGAACAGAAATAAACCCGCACTAGTCACCACTGCAAATGTTGCTCCCAAGGGACGGGAGAAATTGTACGCCGAGATGTACGCGCATAAGGCTGCCTACGCCTCTGTGTGGGAAGGGGTTTAATGGGGAGCCGAGAAAGAGCCTGCATGTAGGAGGAGAAGAGAGCAGATGTTAGCAGCGCCTTTTTGTTTTCCTGGATGGCATGGCAGAGGGAGATCGAAGGAAAGCTCCTCTTGTGCAGAAACAGGAGCTCGAGGAGATGGCTGTGGGATGTAGCAAGGCTTTGGCCGTGTGGCCAGGTCAGGCTCAGGGGCTCTGGCACCAGCAGCAGCCACCAGAGGACTGGAGACCATGCACGGCCCTTCGCAGAGCGCCAAGCACAGCATGTGCCATGCTCTGAGGTGTCAGACTTGGAAGTGACTTCTTCTTGGGCTTATGCAAGGGCTTCCCCTCACCCTGACCCAGGCAGCTGGAGGTGGTCACAAACGCCCAGACCTTTTATAACCAACGCCTGGTGGGGTCGTCGATCAGAAACCCACTGCCAGTTTTCAGAGTACCCTGATGGCTTCAGTTCCACTGCAGAAACACACCAGTGACTTTCCAAAGACTCCTCCCTCCCTACAAAACAGCCACGTGCAATGGAAGTACCCACAAATCGCCGTGCGGTGCCCGAGGCAGGGAAGGGCTGCACAGCGCACGTTCGATGCTCACACCGTGCTGCCGGGCTGTATCCCCAGGCTGAACACCCGGCATCATGTGCCAGCCCCATTTCATAACCCACAAGGCAAATGTCTGGTGGAGGGCAGCGTCTGGTGAGCTGCAGGCACACCCTGCCCCAGGAGAAGGGGCCGGCAGTTCGGGGAAAACACCAAAATTGGCCCAGAACAGGACCGAGCTGCAGCCGAGCTTCTCGGTGCCCCCGTAATGGGTGCCTATCTTGGAGGGAGGCTGGGGCTGCTGCATAAATGCCTGGTTGCCAGACACAGAGGCCATTTAGGTGTCATGCTAATTGCCCTGCCCATGCTTTTATATATAATTTCCTTTAACTGCAGCTCAGCTGCCCCATGGGTTCAGTGCAGCGCCTGGTCCCAGCCGCATCCGCGCCCTGCCGGTCGTTGCTCTTCTTCCTTTGCAAGGCACAGATACAGGGCCCCTTTAAAGCCTGCATGAATGAGCCTCTCATAAATTCCATATTGGAGAAACTCTGGCTGTATCCTTTGGTCATGAAAAGAAATTAAAGCTGCATATAACATTCAGTACCCTGTAATCCCTCCGCACAGCCTTGTGCCTGCATAAATCAGAGCCTCTCATGAATATTGCACTGTACCTGCAGCTGCCTGACCCACATGGTTAAAAAAGATAAATAAAATGAAAACAAAGCGGCAGTCACGTAAAGGCTTCACAAACAGCACCTGCTTTCTGAGAGCCTGAAAGGTCACAAAACGCAACCTGAGAAGCACACAGCTTTCAGAGCCTTAAAAGGAGGGGAGAGCGTGTTTGCTCTTCCTCTCATGCAGCAGAGAAGGAAGCACGGCGATGCACGGCGAGCCCTCTGGCAGGAGCTCTGTGGTCATGCAGAGGGACGAGCCACAGCTCCCCGAGGGCAGCACGGAGCAGGGAAGAAAAGCTGTTTTATGAGTCTTGGAGGGGGAGCAAGACCCCAGGCCTTTAACTCAATAGGTGAAAGGCTTTTCCCACCAGAACTAACTCACAGGCGTCTATGATTTCAAACTGTGTCTTGATTAAAGATAGGGATCTGTTTCATGCCTTTTTTTTTTTTAATTCCCAAATCTTAGAAGATAAAAATCTAGTTTTCATCCAGCTCCCGAAGAGAGACCAGGGTTAGCTGCTATTAACAACTTCCCCAGAGACCAACAAAACACATCGTGGTGCTTGGGGGGGTTCTGTTGTTGAAACTTCAGTCACGGACAACAAAAACTGCTGACAAGACATCCTGCTCTGTCCCTTCCACATTCCCCCTTTTGTTTGCTGCCCAGAATGTCTCCCTCCTTGAATTCATGTGTGGGAATGGCACAAATGCATAGAAGAGGATCACAAGTTCAATATAAATTCACTTTCTTGGTGAATTTATCAGAGACCACAGACCAAGTTTATTACTGTCTGGCCATTTAATCGCTTTGCAACCTTTACCAAGGCAGTATGCTCCTGCCTCAGTTTCCCCCTGTGGTGAACAGCAATGCTCAACCTTCCTAGAGCCCACCAAGAATCCTAGAAGAGGTCTGAGTTTTGTCCTGTACAGTTTTCTGTGGCAGTCTGCATGTGCTTGCTGCATGCTACCTTCCTACCAAATAATGGATTTTTCCTTTAATAACAGTAATTCCCTTTCAGCTCCTTGCTGCCACTCACGCTGCAGCTTCTCCTCCATCAAGCAGAGAAAACAGAGAGTTGTGCCCCCCATCGCCGTACTGCAAAATCCCGTGTCTTAAAGCATTAAGCAAAGGTTTGTATTGCAGCCAATGAACGCTGTTAAAAGGGTATTGAATGCTTTTTCCATTGCCATTAATTGAGTGAAGGGAAAACAGACTCCACTGCTGTCATATCACATCAAAATAATTAGCTCAACTATAAATAGCTCAGCTTACTCACTTTTTTCTTCTCTTTTTTTTAAGGTCAAGACTGCAGCCAAAAGGAGCAGCAGCACATCCCAGCAGAGCATCCCATCTTCCGCTTGGATTCAGACAAAGCAGGGAGAAAAGGAAGCGCATCTGTAATCAGTGATCCCAAGGCCACACAATTACATCATAATTAGACAAATAATTAGTCACATTTAGATAAGAAGAGGGGGGAAAAGAGTGTTAGCAAGCCCACATCTACGCAGATTTACATGAGCTTAATTAATGAGCATTTTCAAACCAATTTTAGCTAAACTGCCTTTGTTTTTGTTGAATGATGCTTCCGCATCAAGCTAAATTATTCTTTAATCACTTCAACATTAAGCACAGCTTTTCCACGAATAAGATGAGCAGAATAAGCTGTGACACCAAGGCACTCTCTTGACCTTGATTCGGGTTCATGCCCCTGCCTGCTGGGAGCCCTGCCCTTGCATTTGCTGCCGCTGACCCTCGTCACCTTGTCGCTCGTTAGCTGCTGTCGGCAGGAGCAGCCAGGTGCCTCTGCTGCCCAGGGCAGCATCACACCACGGTGCTAGGAGGAGCAAGAAGCCTAAGCACTTGGAGCAACACTTAGTGCAGGCTCCTTTACTCTGCTCCTGGACTTACAGAACAGACACAGCTGCAAGGCTTAAAGATATTTAGGGCTCGACCCAAACTACAGCCCTGCCCTGTTCCCGTACTGCTCCCACTGTGTTAGCCTCGTGACCAGCTCAGAATTATCACTGCATTACAGCAATTGGTAGCTTCAGAAGCCAAGAGATCAAATCTGGACTTGGAGCATGTCATTTGTAAATGCATTCACTAGAAGAGGCCCCTGAAGTTTCTGTGACGGTGCTCAAACAGAGCTGCTTGTGTGCGGTTGTTGTTATCCCCTGGAAATCCAGGGTACTTGGAGGCACTTAGGTACTAAACTCCTTTTGGCTGATGTTTATTCTGTGCAGTGCACAGTCTCAGTTCCAGTCCAAGGGCTGCACAACAGCGTATTTAGATCCATCTCTATCCACTGAATGAAACCTGAAATATTCCTTTTCCTCCTCCTAAACTTCCCGACTCTTTGTAGCATCATAAATCACAGAAACCTCACTGTGCTCACTCGGGGCCTGGCTGCAGCGGTGCGGAATGGGGAACTGAAGTCTCTTTCCACTGGTTCTAAGCAAAAGATTTTATGCAGCTTACCAATACACTGAGTTTTCATGGGAGCCAGTGGGAGTTAAATACCCGACTTGAAAAATATATTTGTGCCCAAGCAGGTCTGGGAGGTCTGTAAGTGGATCCTGACCTGCTCACAGATACTTCTTCCTACTGGGTCTCACATGCAGCCGTATTTTTCCAGATACACTTATCTATCTGCCGTATGTGGCGATATATAACTCTGAAGAAGGCAGAGTAAGTGATTGCCTTTCCCTAGTCAAGTGCAGAAAGGTCAGATTTAATATGAAGCTGAGCGGCGATGAAATGACACAGAAAATGTACAAAAATAGAGTGTAGCCATGCTGAAAGGCAAGCGTGTCTGCTCGTCCGGCTGAAACGCCCAGCAGCACAAACGCACCATTCATCTCCACAGAGGCTCTTTATTGCTCCCCACTCTTAGGTTCGGGACACTGGCATCGCTTCCCCTGGAGATGCGCTTTCCAGGAGCGCTGGGGTTGAAGCAGGTCCCTTCAGACCCCCGGCAGCCCCCGGTGTCACCCAGCACCTCGGGGAGCTGCGGGGAGCCTGCGCTGTCCCAGCAAAAGATGTTTTCCCCAGTCCCCCCCTTCTAATGGCTGGGGAGCTGCCACACGGCTTATGTACAGCCCTACAGCTATTTGTTTTAATTTTGGTGGTGTTTTTCTCTAAGCACTGCTGGACTCTCACAAGATGGGCAGATTGTGCACGTAAATGGAAATGAATGCACAACGCGTTAGCTCCCTGCGTTCAAAGGAATACAGTGGCAGTCCCTTCTTGTGCCCTGCATGCAATGGGATATTTCAGAGCTTCCCTATCGAAATTGCATTATACTATGCACATTTTTTTCTCAAAGTCACCCCTGAAGTCCACAGCAGATTTCAAGGAGCAGTTCTGACCACTCGCTGTGGTTCAAGCCCCAGATCCTAAGCACTTACATCAAAGACTCCAGATCAGCCACGGGCCATAGGAGTGCCTTTAAAACTAATTTTACAGCTGACATCGAGCTCCTGCTTTTGCTTGCCTGCCTCATTTGGAGTCCAGGATTCAAAGTGCCTTTCAAAACCATGCTCCATGCAGACCTGCTTGAGTTATGGGTAAGGCATCAAGCAGGGAAGTGGTTGTTCTTAAAGCTGAGAGAGCAAACTTTCTGAAGCTATCTATGACATGTAGATATGAAATAATAGAGAATTGTTTCTTTTAGATACAAACTACAACTCAGTCACAGTATGGCTCATGATAAAGACATTGTGAAAGCTATCAGATGAAACTCTGTGTGCTAAATCTTCTTAATATTGAAGAGAAATGTAACAATTTACTGCCTGTGCTAAAGCCTGGGCTTACTGGAAGCGTATCCCGCCTCGCTTCCCCATATCTGCCTCTGTCTTTTAAATGAGTGCCATGAATCACAGTCTAATAATAATTTTTTTAAGAAATGCTTCTTTCCTAGGAAATCACATTCAGCCACAGTTTAAAGTAAACTCTATGCATGTTCCAAACATTTAGAGGATACACCTAGAAGCCAATAGAGATGTGCTTCCTTTATCTACTGGTATTGGGCATGGTCCAGTTACCAGGAAGGTCCACACCAGCACTCCCACCATCTCTGGCAGGCCCACAGTGTGTGGCTTATCAGGGGAGTTTTCAAGGAAAAAGAAAAATTACATGTAGGACCACAAAAGCACCAAGAGCTAATTCCAGCCAGCTAGAAAGGCAACGCATGATCTAACCCGGTCATCTAGACCTTCCCTACTGAAAGAGTGCTTTCTAGCCTGCCTCTCTGAGCACACATTGCCCCCATCTGAAAGGCAGCACCAGAAACCAAAGAGCCGGTTTCAAACCTCCAAGACCCACGTGAAGTCTGTGCCCTGCAGCCAGTTTGGCAGTCAGAGCTTTAAAAAATAAACCCAGCTACAGAGCGGTGATTTGCATAGCGCATGGTGGCTAAAATTAGCCTGCCTCGACTCCATCTCGAGAGGAAGTCTGACTTGCCACCGCAGCTTCAGGTTTCTTGGCTTTAAGAGCAATGCAGAGCATCTGAGGAATACAGACGTGTCTTCTAGGCAGTCCTGCTCCTCTTGGCTGGCGCTGCTCCCCAGCCTGAGGCAGTGCCTACATCTCCAAGCTGTCCTGCAGCACCAGCAAGAGCCTCGTTCTTCCCAACCAGGGAAACCAGAATACAATGAAACATGTGAATGCCCTCTTTTCAGTATGAAAAGGTTTAGAAGATGATTTATTAAGGAGAGGATGTGGTGCAGGTCACAAGATGGTCTGTCCTGGACATAGGAAGAATAAAACTTCTCTAAGACTCTATCACCACATGAGACAGGGGTTTCCAAAAGCTTGAGAGAGCAGAAGTGCAGTAAGAGGTGCTCTGCAGAAGACACTCATGATGCAAAGTCATTTTAGGAATGGTAGATTCATTTTTGTTAGTTACTGGATTAACTTGAGATACCCCAGCCTGACTCTTAGTCGAGGTCCCACATCATCCTTGCATAACAGCCCATGTTTCTCTGTCATAATTTAATGTTGTTGCAGCATTGTGATGCAGCTGCCCAAACAACTCACACGCTGTCTCCTTTAATTCTGCAGACGAATGGATGTCCATAGGAGGTTACACAAGTCCACCCTGGATGTCTCTGACCAATTTAAATTATTCAAAAAGTCGATCATCAGCTAAGTGCTAAGCTGTTTTTCATTTCAACTTCAGATGTAGCTATAGCTGCTCCCCCTGAGACGTATAAATCATTAATTTAGTTATGTAGTGGGATCACTCAGGACTTGTACTGCCTGGTGCTGCTTGCACAGGTCCCTTCTCTCCTACTGCACCAACTCTGCCCAGCTGAGCCGTATTTCACACATCCCCACCCAATCCGTGGGGTTGGGGTCTGGGCCCTTGGACCGGTTTCTTGGGGCTTTTGGCTCCTCTCACCATGAGGTTCCAGATACCTTCAAATCAGAGATCACAGCTACCAGAGCTTTATAGCTGAATGCTTGTATTAAATTTGTGCAAAATAAACTTGCTGCGGCAACAATCCAGTATTGGCTTTTATATTTTACATGACTGTAAGCCAGCATGGCTTTTCATTTTCTGCTGTGTTGTGGAGTTGAAAGGTAATGATTTGCTTTTAAAATACAATTAAAATGATTTAGTTACTACTTTGACTACAGTATATATCTTATGGAAGGAGCACAGAGTAAAAGCTCACCAATGGGCTGGGTCCTGGCTGGTTGCAATTAGGAACAGAACAGCCCCATGACATGAAATCTGATGATACACTGAACTTCTGACCTATAGCAGAAATCTGATCGTCACAGCCCAGCTTCTTCTTCATTTCAGCTCTGTTCCGGAAAACAAAAGTCTTCATTCAACATTCAATTTTCCCCACCCTTCACCACTGGAATTTTTATATGATCTGAATTAAATATGCCAGACTTTGAAGGTAAAAGTTATAAGGGGCCAAGTGAAATCCAGGGCGTCTTTCCACTTCTTTTGCAATTGTCTGTAGGCCTTGTACTGATGTGATGGGGCCCTGCAGGAAAATTAGGTGCTTCTGTGTCAAACTTCACTGTGGTTTAAGTAGAATAAAATACTGGATCTAATATTACTGGATTTTTATTTATTTTTTTCTGGGCTGGAGGCACTCATTGCTTTTTGCCAAAATTAGACACATTCTCTGATCCAAAGTTTAAGGCTTACTCCTAAAGTCCTTACTCAGGACTTAGGGCAGGAAAAGCTGCTGATATCCAAAATGAAGTCTGAGCAGAGCACAGACTACCCAAGTTTGGTTACTACACACCAGTGGCGAGTTGCGGTCGAAGCACCCAATAACCTGCAGTGTGTCACAGCCATGGTGCTGACACCTCCGCAGTGTTGTGTGGAGATAATTAGGTCTTAAAAGATGTGCCACCATGCTGGATGGAGTCCAGCTCAGCAGTCCTCCTTATCTGAGTTTCTGCTCAGTTTTAGGCCCGTGCGCTCTTCACTCAACGGTGTCAACAGGCAACCTCCGTGGGCGTCAGGAGTGCGCAGACGGGTGGCTTTACCCACCCATGGCTCTGATAAGCTAAAAACAGATTGAAGGTCTAAGTCAATTACACGTAAGCACGTGATAAAATTCCTTGCTAAACTGGGGCCTAAGTCAGTGTGATCTTAGGGTGGAACTCAAATAAAGGCTCTTGGAGGAGGAAGAACAGGCACAAGAATGGAGCCAAAGGTTCTCCTGGGCTGGGGTGCGTGGCCAGAGCCCAGGCAAATGGGAAAACAGCGTGATCCGACAGAAGGAGGGATTGTGTGAGTGGCTCCGTGGCTGTGGCTTGGGAGGAGGAATTTCCTCATGGGAACGTTGCCAGGAGGGTGAGGAAATTGCTTGTTTTTCTAAGCAGAAGCAACTAATAAAGGAGGGGTAGGAACAAAGGTTCTCATCTGTGTTGTAGGCAGTGTCACTGAGACGTAGTACTGGTGGTGCTTTGGGTTGTGCTGTTTAAAATAGCTTGCTTTCTTTAGGCTTTTGAAAGCAGGGTGAAGTAATAGAGTTGATCTCTTGTAAGCATCTGTGATCAGCATTCAGGAGGACTATGGCAATGACTTGTGTAGTGAAGAATAAAAATAGCCCAGGCCTAACGTATCAGTCCCAGATTTCACCTTCAATTCTGGACAGCAAGTGTTAGCTAAGTCCAGAAACTAAACACTGGAGTTAGTAGAGCTGTGTGTGCAAGAATCCAGCTTTACCACGCAAAGACACATTAGATAGAGCAAACAATCCATAAAAGACAGAACAAAACAACCTGCGCAACACTTTGGGGCACTGTGCTGGCTGAAAAGAAGCTTGGAGCTGTGAGGAACAGCTGCTTCTGGAGATATTCCTACTACACAGAGGAATAAAAGACTTCATGCCTGAAGAATCTCCCTGATTACATCTCCATTCTGCAGTCACCATCTACAACTGGTTTGAATGCAAAAATGGGAACTTCAGCTCAGAAGGGACAGCTGTGTCTTTACTCCCCTTACATCAGAGAAGCTGTTTTGAACCAACTCTTCTAGATATATAGCACTTAGAAGAAAGTGTAGCTCTCATGATAAGTCTTGTGTAGGGGTTCTCAGTCAATTTTTATGCCAAGGATCACAAATTAATTAAGAAAATCTTGTCTCTTGGAAACTCTTCTAGTCACAGTTGCATCAAATCACTCTAGCAGTAGCTTGCATGGAAAAATAACATTAGGGATATTTTTATTTTTAGCTGTCTTAATGAAATATAGCAGATGGAAATAAAGAGGAGAAGCCCGTCCTATGTGACTAGCCATCTGTCTGGGGATCAGCAACAAGTACTTCATGGATCACAGCTAGAAAATTACTGGGTAATTAATGTCAGTCTTCAAGCTACCTTACAATTCTTCACTCTCTTTATTCTACTCTGTAAAGTGGATTTCAAATGCCACTCATAACTTACCCGGCCACAAGAGACATGCTTATAGCACCACCCTTAGAGTACTAAACCTCGGGTTGAGTCCCAGTGGCTGCTGCAATCCCTCCCTCTTTCAGAGGTCTGCAAAGCTGTCAGCGATCACATAGCCATCTACTCAGCATGAGATAAACTACCTGGATCCTAAGGGCTATTCCAGATGATCTAAATTTACCTTGTGGACATGTGTAACTTGCCCTCAGCTCCATGGCACACCAAGCACTGGGACCAGCACAGGACCATCCCCTCTATTAGGCCCGTCATGGAAACCAGGTTATTAACTTGAACACGGGGTAAAGAGCTATTATCCAAAACTAAATTTTGCTAAACTAGATTTTTGTGTTGGGTTTCCTAATGACGTGTAGCTTTTCCAAGTTAGTTAAGTAGCTAGTTAGGAATCTGGCCCTTCAAACTGCTCCAATTACTTCTACGCACTATTCATTTGGAGGAAGCTTGTCATGTTTAATGACATCCTAAACAGACATACAATCCCGAACACTGCTAAAGGTCACAGAGCTCGAGCTCTTGGAGATGAGATACTTATTCAGTGTTGTCATAGCTATCCCCTCTCTGTGCTCACACATGCTGCATTACTGCTGCAGCTTGTTCTCGCTTTCCTTTTTGGGAAAATCGATGCCTTGTCACCAGGAAGTTTGATATTTCACCATTACAGAATATTGGTAATTCTTCTCCTGTAACAGGATATTGTTATCGGACTGTTTTAACCTTGTTTATTACCGCCATTCTGCCAGCTCTTACAATTCACTTGATACTGTTTTGGTTATTTTTGTGCTTTGATTTAAGAACACTGTGCTCCAGGACTGCACTTTAAGAAATGCCCTGAGGAGCGGAGCCAAGGGAGTCATCGGCTTATTTAGTGGGCTGTGCTGAGCTCTCCGCGGTGGCTTAAGAAATGCCTCCCTTCCTGGAAATCCACTGCTATCTGGTAAAAGTCTACTGTATGGCACAAACACCATTAATCTTCACAGCCCCCTAGACACACCATAGCTGAATCTTACGTAGCAGGTGAAAATTGTGTTATTCCTCATGTAGGACTGGAAAGTGACCCCAGCCAGATTTAAAAATTGAGAAAATCCCATTTGTAGGCCTAAGCCTTTGGCTATGTCTTCTATTACTTTTGCATTCATTTTTTTTCCTCCTTCTTACTTGTTAAGCAATCTCATTTTGTTGGCAAATACCACATATTTGCAAACGTGTTTCTGTCCTCTACAAGCCTGCAAGAACATTTGCAAGTGGGGCAACTGTGCCCTGACTCCCTCGTGGTAATGTCACCGTCCCATTTGTCCTCCTCCCAGCCCATCCTTGGGGATGGGGACACCACAGGCTGTGTCACCCAGGACCTTGGGGCTGGTGGCAGAATTGGGATTTAATTAGAGCATGGCCTTCAATCAGACCCTCCCTTCCAGCTTTCAGCAGACAACATCTGTAAGGAAATTATTAAATCAAAGCCCCACTGATCTTCCCCAGCCTCATCCGTGGAGGTGTTAATTGGAGGCGCAGCTTGGGTTAGGTGCACACTGGCCTAGGGGAGGGACTGAGCATGTTCTGCTTTTTGCAGCACTCTCTAAGAGGCTTCCTAGAGGCTGAAGAGAAGGAGAAGTGAGCGTGCAGAGATGCCTTGTGTCCATAGAAGTGTTCCTCTTTCCACCCATCTCAGCCCACTGCTGGCAGCCCTGCCACCAGCAGCCGGGCAGCACCAAGCAGGGCCAAAAGCCACCCCTGCTGCCCAGGGAGCAGTAGCGGAGCCTCATCGCTTCGTGCTCAGCTGCCTGGTACTGACACACAACATTGATTGCTATCCTCCTGCATGCTACTGCCCTTCACAAAGTAATCCAAGCCTTTCTATGGTGTATTTAACCTGGAGCTCTATCTCCACAGTGGGACATGGCTGGGACTTTCAAAGGAGACCACTGGGCAGTCGTCCTTCAGGGGATTTGGTGAATAATTCTCAGCCTCTTTTAAAAACTCACAGAACGGCCGTGGAGATAAATTGCAGGTTCTGCACACAGGCAGACTGCTCAAGGTTCATTACAATACCAGTTAAATGCTATTTATCTCATTCATTGTCTCATTCTAGTCACTCATTTCCCCTGAGAAGCCCATGAGCTGGACACAAGGGTTGGCTGGACACGGTTCTCCTTTCAACTGGCACTCTTAGTTCAGACATAATCCCTAGAAACACTTTTTTTTTTTTTTTTCCCCACAGAGTTTTAAGCCAACAGCCAGGGCAAGCAAGTACTTATTACAGGAGCTCAGATCCAAAGTTCACCACCATTCTCGGGCAGCTGGATCCAAGGTTTTGGTCTGGCTGAAGAGAGCCGAGCACAAGCGAGCTGCGGGGCCTGGTGTGCTCCAGCTCGCCCTCACTCTGGCTGGGCTGCAAGGGCTGAGCTGAAGAGGAGAACAGAGGTGCTTGGGTACAAAAGCTTTGCTTTTACCAACTGTCAATAAATATACAAAGACCTGCTGTGGTAAAGAGTGATAAAAAATACCTGAGGGGGGATGTTTTAAGCCCTACGCTGTAGCCCAGGACCCACAGCCCTGGCCTGCAGATGGCTGTTGATCCGGGAGGGGGGCTGGTACCTGTCCTGGGCTTTTCTGGGAGCTGCACATATCTCCTGGGCCGGTCTCCAGCCAAAAGAGCTGAAACCTCTCTTAAATGACGCAAAGCACAGCTTCTTGTGTGCAGGAGAGAGGGAAGCGAAGGAGGCAGAGCTGGCCCTGACTGTTCACATGCTGAGAACTACAAGTCCCTGGTGTATTTGAAGCCTCAAGGGTGCTGAGGTGCAACAAGTTCCCTGCCAGTGACCTTTTACTGTTAACGTCTGAGCATGGTTTTCATTACAGTAATGGTAAGAAACCATTAAAGAACCACCCAAGCCCCAGATTTTCTTTCAGTCACACAATGCCAAGAGACATATTTAGAAAAATGACTGCAAGCCTGATCACAAATGTAATTACATGCCAAAAAACTCCATCCTTCTCTTCAGCATTTAAACTCTTTCTTGGCAAAACTTCCCTGTTGAGCTGGGGTGTTTCCCAAATGACAGCAAGTTTGCTGAGCCGTGTTTTCGGATGCCATTCCAATGGGCACACGCGTGAATGCTTTGCTGGATGTCTGTCTCCCACAGTACCTGCCAGCTAAATACCTGGTCACTGCTGGAGCTCACAGCACTCAGGGGCCTGAGGGACAGATTCTGCATAAGCCAGTGAGAATAAAAATATAATTTGGCCAGTTTTACCTTCCTTGTCAGATCATCTTCAGTTTCCAAAGCTTCCCATCACCTTTCTTATAACCGGTACGATGACTACATTCGTTAGGCTGGAGGATTGGTGAGTCCAGGCTCTCATCCCTCTTCCTCAGTACTCAAGAATTTTACTCCAAGGTCAGTTCAGCCTAAAATAAAAGATGTAACATGTGAAAAAGGCAATGAGAGCAGCAGTCTTATCCAAATGCTCTGTGCCCATGTGTACACACGGCCTGTACCAGCTGTCACGGAGTCTGCTTGCTATTGCTCTGGAGGCTGGCACCTCACAGGGTCCCTTTGGTCACCCCTCCAGCTGACAGGGGACACTCAATTAGCAGTACCTGCTGCCTTTCAGGACGTGCATGGTTTGATTTTAGTCATTGATCAAAAATAGCCAACCTGCTTTATTTTCACATCCACTTCAATAGCAGGCAGTCAGGTAAGTGCCACAGCCGCCTGAACAGCATCAGAGACCAGCCCAGTCCAGAGGGGTTCTGTGCAACATCTGTGTGGTGAGAGGAGAGCCCCAGCCAGGAGGAGGTCTCTGCTGCTCCCTCTCACAGCTCAGCCAACCTCACCATCACCATAGCCCTGACCTAATGCTTTTCACCTCCTTATTTTTTTCATCTCACGAGCAGAAGTTGAAGTTGCGTTGCCAACCTAGAAAAGCAACATGGAGTTGGTGCTTGCTGCAGCACAGCTCCTGTCTGTCTCACCTGCCCGTTTGGACCTGTTTTCCTTGCCTGGTTTGTACATCCAGAGACACGGGGACATCCTGAGGACTGGCAATCCTCACAGAGGGCCTTGCCCAGGGGTCTGGTGAACATCCTTACGCTAATAAAATACAAATACCTTGCCATTGCCACCCAAATTAATGGCTGGGAAGACACAGGGCATGTATCAAATCACACTTAGCAGTCCCAAGGATCAATCCCCCTGTCTGCACATGGGTTGGGGGAGAAAATGAAGGGTTTAAGTTTTGTCCCCCTCATGTCGCTGCGCCTTGGCCCTCCCACGCCGTCTGCTTTGAGATAAATCTCTTGCGCGGGATTTATCCAGAGCCTTCTCTTCCACGTGCTGTCTGCAGACAGATCTGTGTGTGTTTGCATGTGTAAGTGCTATACATAACCAGCCTGCACTTTCCAACAAATTAGCAGAAATACCACAGTTTTACATTTGCTGCGATCTGCCTGCCAATCAAGGAGGCTCCCGCGGTCCTTTCTGATATTCATACCAGGATCACAGCCATCCGCTGTTTGCTACTAAAACTTGGTTCTCTAGGCACGAAGATTGATGGAAACCTCCAGCTGGTGGCATCTCACAAAGAAACCATGGGCTTGGCCTCACCCCCTGCCTGGAGAGGCTGCAACAGCAGCCAGCAGCAGGGGAGCCAGAGCATAAAAAGTGCAGTAAATAAACCCCATCTTAGCACCAAGGTTGATACAAAAAGCCATAAAAAGCAGGGACAGTAAAAGAGAAAAATGCATGGCAGCCACAAATCCTTGAGGCTGACATGAAAAGGATTTTAATTGAAAACAAGTGCCCCAAACTCCTTCTCCTGAAGGTGATCGGCATGCCCTGGCCTCACAGGATTGTTGCTTGCACATACATGCATACGTCAGCTTGTATTCATAGCCCTAAAATGTTCCTGCCAGTTACACACTCCACAGATACCAGCAAGATCTTAGATTCCGCTTCCCCCCAGCCCCTGCTGTTGTTGCATCTGCTTGTTTTACCTATCATCCACCCCGTCCCCATCTTCGTCTGAGCATACGCTGCAGGAGGAGAGATATAAATAAGGTCAGGAACTTATTTCCAGGTAGCCAGATGTGTGGCAGCACCTGGAGCGCATTCCCCATGTCTTGGGCTGTCACGGTGCAGGAGAGGACTCCGTTTATGGTGCTCATCACCCAGACACCTGCGTGCTTATATACCTGCTTGAGCCATTACCTCCCTTTGTTCTGCTTCAGGGCTCTGTGCTTGGTTTATTAAGCTCAGATGAGCACGGTTACACGGTCCTACACTCAATCCATGTAGTTAATGTCTGTAGTTACCTCTGGATTCTTGCTGGTTAACTGGTGTTGAATGGGCAGTAATGTAACTGCACCCCGGCATTGCAGTTTATGGAGCTGCACACATTAAATCGGAATTAGCTGTGTGCCTATTAACAAGGACATCCACCAGTAACCTGTGCAAACGGCCTTTCAGTGTTGCCACTTTACAAGAAACACCTTGTTATTCTGTAAAATGTTGCAGGAGACTCGAGCCTGCCCGCCAGAGCACACAGCCACAGGCCGGCCGCTTGCAGGGAGCAGCAGAGCTGCTTTAGCTCTACAAAAATCTTTCGTTCCTCTGCCAAAGCCTTAAATCCCTTTGACGACCTTCAGCTGAACTCCTGGCCTGGCGGGAGGGAGGGAAGGAGCTGTGCGGAGGGAGGGGATGGAGCAGGGGATGGGGAGGTGCTGGGAACCCGGCGATGGGGGTGAGCAGGAGGAGCGGGCACCTGCTGGGAGGGACGGGCGCTTGGGGTGGGTTTTCCTATCTATGTCCATGCTATGAGCCCGCTCTCTAGGGAATCAAGCACCGGCTATTCCCGGCCCATCCGTCAGCAGCCGGGCGTGAGAGGGTTTTCCTTTCCCGGCTCCCTCTCGCCCCTGAGGCCAGGTTTCCTCCTCCCACCCCGTCCAGCTCCTGGGTCCTTGCCCGAGGTGTGGAGGAAGGGCAGATGTCTGCTGGGGATGGGCAGGGACACGGAGCTCTTCTGTGCCCACATCACCCCATTTGCTCTTCTTGCCAGCACCTCTGCACATCCCATCACCAGTTTGTGCCGGGGGATCACACCAGTACCACATTCACATCTCGGGTGCACCAAGCTGACCCCTCAGCTGCACAAAACCCCCTAAAACACCCCAAACCCAAACCACCACCCCATTTCTGCATCCTCATCCTTCTGCTCTTGCAAGCTGAGCCTGCCGTTCCCAGCCGTGCCCGCACCCGGTGCAGGATCTGGCCCAGGACATGGCCCTGGTTTGTGCCCAGCTGCCGCCCCGCTCGGCTTCAGCTGCTCGGCGAGCGAGGCAGCGCCCGGCCCCCCCGCCGCAGCCCCGTTGTGCCGCACGGAGACAAAAATATTCACCAGCTGCTGCCCACCTGGTGCTGAGACGAGTTTAGGAAACAGCAACGAGAAACTGAAAATAAAAGGCCAAAAAGAGATAGATGCGGGCCTCGCACCAGAAGTGAGAGCGCTAAAAATAGCGGTGATGTGATCCATCAGTGCTCTAGGTCGTAATTAACCGCTTGAGTGTCTTTGGGCATGGAGCAAGTGTGTCCGGCAATACGAAACCCGCAGGAGGCGAACAGCCCAGACGGCGCGTCCCGGGCTCCTGGCGTGCCACCACCGAAAATAGAAGACACGTGGCCGGTCCCCCGGCAGGACAATGCTGGTGGCCATGCAGTGTCACCTCCTGTGCCCCACCTCAGGGACCACCGGGCTCCATCCACCCCACCACCATGGTGCGGGGACTTTCCTGGGGTGAGCTGTACCAGCACTGGGTGCTTGGCTTGGTTGCAACCCAAGGTTTTGTCCAAACCCTTCCTGGTGCTGGAGGGGGGGAGCGGTGACAGCAGGGGGCCTGGATGCGTCCCGTGCCCCCCAGCAAAGCCCCTCGGGTCTCCTGCTCCAGCCCTCCCACCAGCCTCACGTTTGGCAGCGGCAGTAGCAGGGCTGGATCAAAATAGCACAGCCGGTTCCAAGGCACCTCTCAAGTCAATTTATGCCTGATATTTAGTTTCTGTAAATATAGGATGTTGTGCATGAGATCAAGTGGAAAGTTTCCTTTTTGATTCCTCCGGAAACAGAATTATTTAACTGAGCTGCTATTCCCTGGAAACATTTGACTCAAGTGTTACGACATTGTGATAGAGGAGAAATTCAATGCCACAACAGCAGCCCGCAGCTAATCCATTCTCTTCTGGGACTGGGAAAGCTCAGACTGGGAGAAGGACATTTAAAACCAGCCTGGTTCTGAGAGTAGGTAGTATTTAATACCAGAACAAAATAGGTCAGGTTTTAAAAACAAATCTATGACTTAACCCATCATGATCCTAAACAAAGCCAACACAGCTACAAACCATTAAAAACAGTATCTCAGTGCAAAAGCTCATTTCAGCTCCGTTCAGAGCCTTGGGTACCCAGCAAGATGCCATCTCCTTGTGTTTCACCCCCCATACGTCTGCCTCAAACCCTGCACAGCCTCTCCTACCTCTCGGTGTGGATGCCCCCAGGGCTCTCTGACCAGGCCCAGCAGCTGCATGCATCCCATGCGTCCTTCGGGGTAAGGTCACACGGTGGGGAGCAGATGCTGCCTCCCAGGAGGGGTGAGCTGAGCACCCGAGGCGAGAAGGCTGTGAACAGCCCAACACTTTATAATCCATTGGTATGCTTCTTGCTCTCGAAACTCGTCCTGCTTGCCCCAGGTCCCAGTGCTGCAGCATAGAGGACCTATGAGCACACCAAAGGGTGCTGCAGCACCTCAGGGCTGCTTTAGGACTTCAGATTTCATGGGACAGCCAGTACGGTCCTGTCCAGCACAGTCACAGTGCTGGGACCAGCTGGAGAAGACCAACATCAGCTGCAGTGCCACGGCCAAGGAAGCGTCCCACTAAGGTGGTTTTGAGTCAGAAGAACTTTAAAGTCACAATTTTATTTTCTCTCTCTATTTTTGGCTTCAGATTCTTGGATGTCTCCTGCCTACTCCCAAAATGCGTGACAAGGAGTAGGTCTGAGATAGTAACAATATTAAAATGAGTCCAAGTGCAGCATGAGCTGAAAGTTAGCAGGATAAAAGCTCTCAGCAAAAATTACAGCTGAGGAGCAGCCTCAGGAGAAGACCAGGAGGCAAGGGAAGGTGGCAGAGAGCCTTGAGGGGACGGTGATGTATGTGATGTGCTCTGCTCAGCACTGCTCAGGCTCAACAACCAAGGAGGCAAAGTCCAGAGAGGGATGGAAATGACCAGCAAACACAAGAAACGAGGAGAGAAAGTGAAACAACCAGGGCCTGCAGAATACCAACATAGGTGTGGTAACAGTCTCTAGGAGTTACTGTAAACAAGTAGGGAACAGGACTGTTTTCTGAATACGTTTCCTGTAAAATGGGTAAGAGTGTCCTGCCTTGCTTTGCACGACCTGAGAAGGCCCAGCTGAAGTGGTGCCCCGCCTGCCATGCTGCAGCTCACTCCTAATTCCATAGTGAAAAAGCTTCACAGCTGCTAACATAACACCAACCCCTCCGGAGCCTCTGTAGGTCCTTCTTCCAGTTGAAATCTCCTGCAGCAAGGACACAGAGGCCTTTCAGCCAGCTACCACCGTATATAATGCCTTCTGGCATCACGGTGAACTGGCCCAATATAGCCCAGAGGCAGCACCTGGGGAAAGAAAACCAGACCTGACTTCTGGAAAATGCAACTAGAGCAAGAAAGGAACCAACAAACTGTGAAATGCTTGTTTGCCTTGTGCTGATCCTCACCAGAGGTGGGCCTGGGGAGAAGGTGAATCATTTGTGACTTCCAAAATGAAGTGATCCGTGTTAACAACCGCAGTTATTTATTGACTTCTTTGGGGCATGGAGCCTTATCTATCCAAAACACACGTTTGTTCTCAGGGATCAGAGTAAAGGCACTGTTCCTGAGCCAGACGCGTGAGCACGGAGCGTTGTAACTGAGATTAACCACGGGATGTGTGGGACAGCACAGGGGGCAGCACGGCCTGAGGGAGCAGGGAGAAGAAGGCAAACCAAGGTTATAACCAAGCGGCTCGGTGCCTGCCCCGGGCAGTGCCCATCACACCTGTGCATGGCAAGGAAGAGGCAGGCCAACATCCATCTTCTGGGAAATGGGAGCACACAGGCTTGTGAATAACTCATTTCATTGAGCCACATACAGGAGGAGGAACAAAGAAATCAGACGTTTCCCCCCATTTTCCAAAGCTCCTTACACTTCATTCGTTGTTGCTGCACTTGTTGTTCGTCTGTGGTAATAAAACACGGCCTCGGACAAGTGCCAGGGGCCCTCAACAACCAACTCAAGGTTACTGTGGGGCCAAATCCTACTCCTCTCGTTCCTTCTTGTGCCCTTGATTCAAGGCTTGCAGGCTTTCCTAATCCCCAGGGATTGGAGTGACTTTACGTGCATGCTCTGGAGCTTGCAGACTTGATGCTGTCAAGCCTAGGAGTCATTTTTAGGAAGAGTCTCCCCAATGCTCCGAGCACTGGTTGTGGGTATTTTATTCTGTTTTGACTGCTGGAGGCTTATGCAGTTTCCAGCAAGCGTGCAGACCCCAGGGAAAGTTTACAGACAGCTCAACAAGCCGTACAACATTGCTTTGCTTAATTACTATTTATGAATGCTTAAGCGTCACCCGCAGCATCCTAAACAGTCCCCAGACCATGCTTTCAAAGCCACCCTTCTAGCTAACACGCTGACTGAAGCCTGCCCCTGGAAGCTCAATGCACGGCGTGGTCCAGGTACCCGTCCTTGTGCCACCAGCACAGCTCTCAGCATTTTGCTCATCTCTGGTGCTCATCCCAGCCCCAAGTGGACCAGGACAGTCCCTGCACAGCTGCTACCAACAGAAAAGGTTTAGCAATCCCCAAGTGAGGACGTTTGATAGAAACATTTCATTACTACTGCAAACACTTCCTAAAGCATCCCAGAAAGCACAGCGCTGTTGGGCAAATAAAATCTCTAAATAACTCCAAGCTATTAAAAGCCAGTGGGTTCTTGCACCCTCCACAGCCATAAAACCTGCAGAAATAGAGTCTCTGGATGCTGGCGCTATTTAAAGGAAGAGCACAATGCACGTCTTGTTTGTGCCATCGCCGTGTCACCATATGGTGACGTGGTGCTGGCCAAGTCCCTCAATAACTGTGTGCACGGCTGTGCCCCACGCTCTGCTCACCTCCAGCTTTCCCCTCTGAGCATCACCAGGCTTTTGGAGGGCGCTGCCAGCACAGGGCCGGGGCAGCGTGCCTGCACGCAGGGTGAGGAGTGCTTTGGAGCCAATATTTGTGTTAAGGGATGATCAATGCTCAGGCTTATTCCAATCAGATACTATTTTGTTGTTGTTGTTGTTTGTATTTTTAAACAGGAGCTATAAAATCCAGGAAATGTGGATTTATGACCTATAAATGGTTTAGTTAGAGCTACAACCTACTGGCTTATGTAACTTTATTTACTCAGATGGGGCTGCCATCCCAGGCACCCGCGAAGCTCATTCTGTGGCATTTCTTTCTCTGAGCTCTGCTAAAAGCACAGCAATGGGGGGCTGACGGAGGGTTCAGAAACGGGGGCTTACAGACAGGTGGGCAGCTACTGCGAGCAGACAGTGCCAGCGTTCAGCGTGGCTGCAGCACATGAAAAACAAACACGTCAACCTCTGGCCCTGGTGTTTGCTTTGGATGCAAAGTGCTTGCTGTGAGGAATGACAAGAGAGATTTCTTTCTATTTCCATCAAAATCTTTGAAGGAGTAAATTCCCCATAGGGTTGCTGCAGGAGGAGCTGGTCCCAAGGAGGAGGTAACCCAGGGCACTGCAGCTGCTCTGCTGTGGGACCAGGCTGCTGGATGCACCAGGCTTTGCAGCATCATGGAGTTTGGGGGTTTGTTTGTTTGTTTTAAAGGAGAAGTGATGAGAGCTGCCCAAGATCAGCAGAGGTGAGGCATGAGATTTGCTTAAAAAGTGTCATTTGTACAAACATGAGGGGAAACTGCAGCAGCCAGGTTGATTAACAAAGACTGCTGTGCCTCTTGCCCAAACACCAACCTTCCCTGGAGGAAGGCATGTGGCACTCTTGGGCCAGTATTTGGGGATGGAGCAGCTGGAGGACGAGAAGAGCAGCATGGAAAAGCCTCTAAACCATGCCTTGCTTCAGCTGCAGGTCCTGCACACGACAGTCAGTTACGGAGATGATCAGAGACAGTGAATTGCCACTCATGGGTAGCACGAGCCCCGGTGGTGCCACTCACCTTCCTCCACGAGCTGCAGCCCCTCTTGGGGACCTGCACCTTTCTGGAAGAGGAGCTGGTTGCAGCCGGCAGCACATCCACTTCTGTTCACAGCTCACTTACAGCGATTCAGCCACAGCTTTGGCCCAAAGTTGACATTTGGGGCTTTAGCGCAGGTCCAGGTTGCTATGGTGAAATGACCTTCCCAGCACCCTGAAAAGTTCAGAGATTTGGCTGAGAAACAACTCTTAAAAATGCTTGCAAAAGCCAGACAACCACTTTGCTATTTCAAGCTGACGACAGGTCGTTTTGGCAGCACGTCGGTACCCAAACGGCAGCAAAGCTGTTTCCCTGCCCCTCTTTGCAAGCCTAAATCTTTACTTTCTCAATAAGCAGTAGCACCAGTGGGGAGCATGGGGTGCAGGTTCACTGGCCAGGCACTGCCAGGGATGTTCCCGGTGCCACCTCCCCCCATTTAGACTTTCTCTTCCCACATACAGAAAACCACAGCCCTACAGGAGGTCCAGGACAGGCACCTCAGGCCTGGTGCTCAGCACGGGCA